GGCATCGGGTGGGTGGCTCTGTGCCGTGCCAGGTGCAGGGTCTGCTAGCTGGGTGCTGGCAGGCTTGCACCTGGCACGGGCACCGTAGCCAGCCCGTGCCCCTTTAAGGGGTCCGGGGCCGGGAGGGGGGCATAGAGTTTCCCTGGTGTTGGCCAGAGTGGCCACCAGGGAAACCTGGGAAGCCTTAGCCTCCCACTAGTTCGAACTAAAGGGCTACACAGCCCTTAGTTCGAACTAGCTAGTTCGAACTAGGCGTTAGTCCTCGTAAAATGAGGTTTACCTAGTTCGAACTAAGCGCTCCGTTAGTTCGAATTAAGTTCGAACTAACGGAGCGCTAGTGTAGCGCCTAGGAAAGTTAGTTCGAACTAACGTCCGTTAGTTCGAACTAACTTTCTAGTGTAGACATACCCTGAGAGAGTCTTATGTCTGTTTTGTGTGCATTGATTCTTTGGCGAAGTGTCTGAGACGTTTGTCCAATGTACATAGCAGACAGACACTTTAGGCACATGATGGCATAAATTCCCCACTCTATTCTAAAATTTGATTTGTCAATATCACATGCGTTCATTTTTTTGATTGTATCACTTTGGTATATATGGTTGTGCCAATTTTCTTCTACATATTGATCTGAGGAAGTGGGTCTGGCGCACGAAAGCTCATCACCTAATAAACCATCTTGTTAGTCTTTAAAGTGCTACATAGTTCTATCTTTTGTTTCAGCTAGACCAGACTAACACGGCTGCATCTCTATCATTAGATGAGAGTTTACCTATGCACAGCCTTGACATCCATCTCTGAGACCCTTCTAATTCTGCTAACTCCTTTCAGAAATGGGACCAATTGAATACAATATTCGGAGTGAGGGCATATGGTTGAATTATATAATGTTATTATAATTTTACTTACTATTTATCATCCTCTGGGCTGGACTTTTGCATAATTACTATGCATTAACACCCAGCAGATTTCTAAATAAGACTTTGCAAGTATTAATACTCTAGATTAGTTCTAAAACATTGCATAATCTTTATGTTCCTTTTTAGTATGTTAATATATTGTAAATCCATGTGTACAAATTGTACCTCAAATTGAATGACTGTTGCTTTCATCAATATTTGTTCTGACATCTTTAGATTGCAACACAGTTTTGCATGATGAATTTCCTGATTCTTTTTTTTTTTGTATAATGTTTACTTTATAGATTAGCTATCAAGATTTTTTACCTCTGTTATCAGTTTGGGATCTTAAATGGTCTTTTGTTCTTTTAAAAGTATTTTCCCAAGGCATCATCATTACTGTTGAGTCTGTGCACCCTTGCAATTGAACTCAACTCATGCTACCTATTATTCAGTAGCTGATGGTGGCTTGATAATGCAGGCTTTTCCACATCCTTTTTATCTATTTGATATTTCAAAGAACACTGAGATTCAAAGGACACTAAGATTTGAAAAAACACTCATTGTAGAGTGATGACTGGAAGTGACCCAGATCTCTAACTTGTTGATTTTATAGAGTCAACTTGAAACTTTTAATACCTGAAACATATTTAACAAAGAAGTATTCATTTCTCTTTGACTGAAGACTGTTCCCATTCATAAACATGAATGAGCAGTTTTAACAATATCTCTTTGGGTTATATCTCGTCTCATCAGTGTCATGTTAGGTCAGTACTTAGATAAGAGTTCTGCAGAAAAAAACATGATACTACAGGAAATGGTGGTGATGCTGGTGGGTGGCACTGTATTCTGAGTCAGTGTTGGATCAATGATCCTATATGGTTCATGGTGTTGGAGGTTTTGTAGTGGGCCAGATCTCCAGGGAGTATAAATTGGTGTAGCTGTATTGAAATCATTAGTTGATTATCTGACCCATCATGTTTGGATGTCAGGTAAAACTGAGGCCCTCATTACCGTAAAATCTCGAGTATAATGCGGACCTATGTATAATGCGCATCTGCCTTTTAAACGTCAGAATTCTTGAATAAACTAAACTCTTATCTATAATGTGCACCCCCATTATATTCGAGATTTTACAGTATACTATTTGCCCCCATATTCCTCCTGCTAATTCTTCTAACACCATATAAGCAATTCCAAAGCACAATAAATCTACAAGGTCAGATTAGGAAGCTCCTCACAACTCAAAGGCACAACTGCAAACACAAACCGAGCTTGCACCTGCCTGGGGAGCATCCCCTGCCCAGCTGCCGGACCCGTCCCATCTCCCCTCCGCCCCTCCTCCCCCCACCGCCCAACTCGTGCCTGCCGAGGGTGAGTTTAAAACTTAAACAAAAAACCTCCTATAGATAATGTGCACCCCGCCTTTGATGCTAAAAAAATGGGGGAAAAGTGTGCATTATACTCAAGATTTTACGGTAATTGTGATCTGAAAAATAAACAGTATACTTTTTGTAAAAGTAACATTGTTACCCCTAGAACTCTTGCCAAATTGCTCTTTGAATATCTTCACTTTTGCTGCC